TTCCGATGGATTCCGACCCAGAATTTTGGGATCATCCTGTAAGTATTTGAAAAAACACAATCGGGTTAATTAATTATGTCAAACAAATATTGTAACGTAGTTTCTCAGAGAACAAAAAGTTTAAAATTTTCAACAATAATTAATAAGATAATTTTGTATTAAAAAAAAAAAAAAATATAATCTATTTCACTTCCATCCAACAGATAATATATGTCCCATTCTTCTAAAACAACCAAAATACAAGGAGTGAATATTTAAAGGAATATTTTCACAGGGGAAATACAATATACAATTAATAGAAAGGGTAGTGAAATATATATTTGGTACAGTACGTAAATTTTTTTTTTCGAATATTTTTTTCTTATAATGAGAATGGATCGAAGAAATCAAATATTTTATAGAAAAAATTCATGGTATAATTATAAAGTAAGTGGAGAGATTGAAACATTGGGAATATAAGAAATCTTATGGTCAGAAAGAAAGGGTGTACAATGAATAATTTAAATAAGAAAAAACAAAATAATAATAATAATTTTATTATGTCTAAGGAACTTCATCAATACAGAAACCTGTGTGCCCGAAAACCGGTCGGGGATTAAGTTTTGTTCTCCGAAAGGGTGTCAGTCTCAATTGGACCAGGGACCTGATGTGCATAACAAAGGAAAAAAAAGGGAAACCTAAAAGTTAACAACGTAGCGTAGAATTTTTTTTTATTTTTTTTTTTTATTTTTTTCTTTTTGCTACCAATCCATCCGTAAGATAAATTACTAAAAATATCATAGAAGCAATAATAATATACAAAAGAGAAATAATAATAATAATAAAAAAATTAAGGAAAATAAAATGATCTTGCGATCAAATTAAATATCCTGTAAATCTTCCATCAATTTCTTCTTCTGTTCCTTGGTGATCATCTTACTCGCCTTTCTGGCCATCAATCGTTCGGTACGGTATTGTTCGTAAAATAATTCCAAAGTAATATCCTTGAATAATTTGCGGTGGCTCGATAAAAGAACATTTCTTAACATAACAAAATCGCAATGTTTTGGGTTCAAGCAATCAATAACACCCCATGCATATTGTCGACCTAAAATTTTTTCACTTGTCGATGGATCAGTGATTTCAGCTTCTTCAGGAGCAATCATAGAAAACGGAATTTGAGTTTGAATGTCAGTTACAACTTCCGCTACTGCTTCAGATTCAGAACTATCTTCTTCATCGGCAGGAAAATCAAACACAGGGATTTGATATTGCTTTATGTCTCTATTGATAGCTTTCTTTAAGTTGGCAAGTTGTGTCGTCGTAAGTAAATCAGCTTTCGCAACGATAGGAATAACATTTACACGAGCTGTTAATCTTTTTAAAATACGAATATCTTTATCTGTTAAACCATTATTTGTATTGTCAATAAAATAAAGACACGCATGAATTTGGCTGTCTTGAGCTTTAGGATTACGTTTTACTTTTGTTTCCTATTATAAAGAAAAAGAAAAATAATTTATTAAAAATTTCACATTGATCACTTTTTTTCATATAACAATTATTTTAAATTATCTATCTAAAAAAAGAAATTCTATATTTTTACCTCAGCCAATGTTTGATCAAATTGAGCTTCAATATATCTTAATACTTCAGTAACTTGAACATCAAGTCTGAGTTCGTTATCTCTTACGAAACCTGGGCAATCAACTAAAGTCAAAGAAATTTTTTCACCCTCTTCTTCGATATCCAAAGTGAAAGAATATAATTCTTTCGTGCGGGCTGCTTCTGCGTCCTGCGCTGTTTCGGCTCTTTTGGATAGTGAAGGAGGGACCTCTAAGTCTTCTTTTAGGCGACAAAGAGTGTCGAAAAGCATGCGGATGAAGGACGTTTTACCGAGAGAACTAAAACCTACAACCATTAGGTTTAATTGTGAAACTGCGTGCTTACGACGACGAGAACTGCGAGACATTTTACTTGACATTCCGATATTGAGTTATTTTAGCTTATTATATTAAAGGTAATATTAAGGAATTATTGAGAAGTTAAGGGAAATTGCGGTCGTTATCGGATGTCTAATCAAATGGGAAGGATTGGTGTGTTAAGGAAAGGCAGAGCAGTTAGGAAATCCCAGTTTTTTTGTGTATTTTATAAAGCACGTCTGTCTCTGCACGAAACAGCAGACTAAATAAAGAAAAAAGGTTGAAAGTCGTGTAGCGTATTCACCTTTTTTTTTTGCGAACTTGGTTTGTTCGTTTAAACACGCTCGTGAACGAATAATAAATGCAGTGAAACGTAAAAACTTTTGCTGGTTGAACGAATGTTGGGTGTGCATTTTATTAGAAAATTTTGTGCTCGATGTAATTAATATTGATGCCGAATTATCTTTGTGATACGTGCCGACGTTATAATCAGTAAAAAAACGGTCGCAAGTCATTTTTAAAACTTGAATGACAAATACGATATAATCTATCACCATGATACTTTCTTTGTTACCGTTACAAAAAAATTGTTCTACATTTAATCACGTGAAATTTTCCCTTTTTTACTTTGCTATTTTTCCGATAATATAAATAATTGTAAATCGATTAGATACAGTACAAGGGTAATTGTGCGTAAGAATAAAAGTTGGAAATATACTTTTATGTTAGAGTTAGAAATTAGAGCAGTTATAAGATTAAATTTTGGAGATAATGTAATAAGAGCGATAGTTTTTTTAGGTGATATTACGCTGACTTCGATAAGATTAAGTGATACAAAAAACTTGCATGAAAAATTTTTAATATAACAACACACTCAATTGTATACCCAATATGTAATGAACTGTAACAAGAATAAAATCCTTAACACCCTTTATGTTTCGACTACAAACAAAGCTCTGCGCATAAATTGCCCGAGAAGCTTGCATAATTATTATATATATACAATTTCTAATTTTTTCGAAAGTTCAAATTTTAAAAGATTATCATTATGAACGTTGCAATTAAAACTTTCAGAATTAAACGTGCAATACTTTTGTCCACCCTTAGTATTTTTGTTTGTATATTTAAAAATTACTTTGTGTTTAATTTTGTGTTATACAATCTCTTATCTAAATCACATGAAGGATTAAGGATTTTGATAAATTTAAAGCTATCGCTACACCATTGGTATATCAATCTGAAATTTATTAATTAATTTGTAATAAATCCAGATCAACTTAATTCTTTGTTTAAAATAATCTTCCTCGATTTTTACAAACTAATGCGTTTCATTAACCAATAGAAACACATAATTGGTTTTTAATGATTTGTCCTTACAAATTTTGTTGAGCATAACTGGATTATCGTTATTGGGATGTAAATTTGTAGATTGTATCGTAGCAAAGTCAAACACATGCACAACTCCGTCGGGAGGTTAGTTTGATCTGATCCTGTTTCGCATTATGAAAATCAGCTCCTATAATCATCTATAATGGGACTTGATTCATAATCAGTGATGCATAGCATAATAAAAAAAATTCTGATTGGCTAAAATATCATCGTTATCACAAGATTCTTTAAAGTTTTTAAAGCAATTATTGACTTTGCTACTGTATTATCATGTATTTTGCGCGAGATAAACCTAGCATATATTAGATCTTCTATAAAATAAAATTGTACTTTAGCATATACTGTATTATAATAAATTACATTAATTTACTAGCCTAATTGCTATGATTTTAAATAAACTACAGTATTCTTAAATATAATCTTAATTATCCTACTATGATCTGCATCAATCAATAATTTAGTTATATTTTTATTCACCGATCATATGCAGATCGTCGTAGACAGAGGATAATAGGCGTGTAAGTGAACAATAACTGCATTATTCGTCAAAGATATGTGCTATTCGGCCGCGATAGCGGCCGAATAGCATCTAACAAATCTTAGTCAAAATTTTTGACGGATAGATTTTCAGTTATTAGGCACAAATAACTGCAATTATTGTTCACTACACGCCTAATAACTATACAGTATTGTTGTCGGGTTTTCTTTTGACAACACTCATATATTAATAACATATTCTTTTCAACATTTTTATTTTAAAAATAATTATTACAGTATTTTTTATTTAAATTAATTGTTTTTATTGTCCGAAGGAGAGTCATAGTAACCTGGTTTGTGTGTGTGTCCGCAAATTACGGCCATTGTCGGACTGATCCGTGATGACCTTAAATGGCATATATATATATATATATATATATATATATATATATATATATATATATATAGTGTATATATATATATATATATATATATAATATATAATATATATATACATTATATATAATAATTTTATTACTACAGTATACGTAGAAACAGTTAAATACATACGTAGCATACGCAATTCTAGTAAAAACTACTAATTCTAATTATAAATTGATTATTTTGCGTACGCAATAGTAAAAGTTCTCTTTTATTTCAAACTTTATACGTAGCTATTATACGTATCATTAAAAATTATATATAACGATCATCACTACTAAGTATTTTTTTGTTAGAGAGGTATACAAGTTTACCTAATTAACTATAATTGCTAGCAAATAAGTTTAAATGCTAGATATTTTGTCTTTTAAGATATGCACTCTATGTTGCACAATCCATACAAAAAAAGGGATACATACACCTTTAACAATACATTAATTAATATATAGTAAAACTTTAATTTATATGTATATAAATAAAATCCATCAATATTAATTTGTATGATACATACAAAGTGCAAAACTCGTGCAACTAAAGGTACGATACTTGCTTCTTCAAAACGGAAAGTCTTTTAGTCAGCCCGATATTAACATAGTCCTCATTCGTGTTCTTTAAAAGAGCCCATTTCTTACGCAGAAGTCAAGCTCTGTGTAGCTGTCGTCTGAAACGTTATCTTCCGACATCCACCACACAAAAAGTTAGTCCCGTCGAGGACTTCGTCATCTCTCGTTAAACATTCCACCCTTATAGGCAAAAGCCATTTCTCAACAACCATAATACAAAATCACCAAGATGATGTTATATAAGTTAGTCGTTCTTGGGGACGGTGGTGTTGGAAAGGTACCACATATTTTATTATGTTACGTCACTTTCCGTGTGGTGTGGGGAGGTCTATTTTTCAACATCTTAAGCTTTTTATCCTTTACTTAATCTTCAGACGGCCCTTACAATCCAGGTTAGTAGAGTAGACCAGCGAGTCCAACATTTAATCAAAGTTTGGCTTACCGAAATTTTTTTTCAATTGCCTGAACATGTTAACGCGATGGTTTGATTTTATTTACAGCTGTGCCTAAACCACTTTGTGGGTAAGTTCAATAACAAGCTGAATTATTATGTATTTGTAAATTCTAACGTCGAATTATCATGTTTCGATACATCCTTTAATAGAGGTTTGCATTATCATTCGTTATGAATATTTTATTATTGGTAAAAGTTGATTGATGTCGTCAAATTTAATGATTTTAATTATTTCCCTATGATTTTGATTATTATTAGACATATGACCCCACAATTGAAGATTCATATCGAAAACAAGTAGTTATTGATGACCATCCCTGCGTACTAGAAGTACTGGATACCGCCGGACAAGGTAACCAAATATTATCAAATTTTCAGATTAAATAATACATTATTTACATTAAAGAGTCATAATAAAAGATTTTATTATCATATAAATTATGGAATTTTTGCGGTTATGATTGATACAAATAATGCAAATTTTGAGTTCACATGATTTTTGAACCAAAGTACATTATTCAGTGCTCTTACATTAGATGATTTATTCTTTTTGTATGAATTTAATAGAGGAATATACGGCGTTGCGTGATCAATGGATTCGGTAAAGTATCGCAATAATCGTTATAATATATTTTTAATGAACCTAACGCACCGAATTTCCTTACTTGGTAAATAAGTAATAGTGCAAATGTGTGTAAAAATACACTCATGTTCTTATATCGGGGTGTTGGTTTCAGCTGTAATGAATAATAAATATTTCACGTTAATATTGTAACTAACTCAATTTATCATGCTTAATACTAAATTTTGGATGCAGAGATGGTGAAGGTTTTCTTCTAGTTTATTCCATATCTTCGCGATCCACATTCGAACGTGTAGAACGATTTCATGATCAAATTATTAGGGTAAAAGATAATGAACCAGTTCCGCTTATGCTTGTTGGTAATAAATGTGATAAAATTACTGAACGAGAGGTCTCACGAGAAGAAGGAATGAATATGGCAAGAAGACTCAAATGTGATTTCATTGAAAGTTCCGCAAAGACATGTGTAAACGTGGAAAGAGCGTTTTACGGAGTGGTTAAAATGATAAGGCAAAACAGAGAGGGCGGAAAAGATAGCAGAAGGAGTAAGAAGAAAGCAAAGTGTGCAATTTTATAATTTTATGTTTATGTTCATGTTGGATTTTTCTAAGATTGGGGATAGTGACGTGCATTGTAGATAAATAAGCTGGAATATTCACCGGTTTATTATTATTTTATTTCGTAAAATGTCCGCATAAATGACATTCATTGCGATTTTTTTTTTTTTTTTTCGCACGTAATTTATGGTAGATTGAAAAAAAAATCATTCTCAAAACATCACATGCTAAAGTTTTAATGTACCTATTTGAATTTACTGTCATTTGTGTGCTATTTCGAACATTTCCGTTGTCCGTTTCGTTTTTCGTCACGATTTTTTTCTAAAATGATTGGAGGGTTAATTTACTAAAGTTGATTGTAATTATTATATTGTTTAAAAAAAATAAGATTTGTTCATACACTTTATAATATATAGTGTAAATGAATATGAGTTAATCATATATTGTATTATTTATTTATAATATGATTTTATAGAAAGATAATATATATATTATATACAAATGTAATAGCTTATGTGATTAGATGTGTATACAATATGGGTTAGCGTAGGGTATTCAAAATCATTAAATCAAGGTAAGATCAATATAAGCCATCCACTTTTTATATATCAAAATGCCGGATTTTTAGCAGAGATTCAGGCAGATTCAGGTAAATTATGCCGATCGTTAATTCTTGTTGGCTTATTCTTTAAAAAAATGGCAAATAAAAGAGAATAGGCTATGCATTATATAATTTCATCATCTTTTTTTGATATGAACGTTTCAAATAATTCTATTTAAAAAAAAGTTTATTTAGTGCTCTGAGTAGTGCATGTTCGATATTATCAGAAACGACCAAAGATAATTAGTTCAAATATAATAAATAAAACACGAAAGATAAAAATACAAAAGAATAAACTAATAAAGTTTGGTCTGAGTTAATATTTACTAACTAAAAACAATAAACAAGGAATTGCTGGTATTGCTGTTATCATCAAAACTATAATAATCAGGATATTTTATGATTCAGTAATCAGAATTAGGTAAAATTTACACTATTTAATTCTTCTTAGAGAAAGATTAAATAGTGTAGATTTTATTCGATTCTAATTACAGAATCTCAAGATAATTCTGATTCATCATAATACCGCTATAGCTAAAATTTTCTTATTTTTTTTAACTTTAAGTATTTTGTAATTCAGTGATCTAAGTCAAATAATTTTGGTATCATTCAACTTAACTTGATAAAACGAATTAGATAATACCAAAATTATTCAATTTTAGTCAATGTATTTTTATTTTTTTTTTAAGGTGAGACCTTGCTTCTTGTTATTTTATTAAGTATATACATACATAACATACATTATATTACAATTAATAGAACAGTGGCTTAGACTAATTATCTATGATCTATATCTACCAGAGCTGTTTATATCCCACTCATGTATTACCTGGATTTTGTGTACTATTAACTAAATATCCTATTCTAACCTGATATATTTCCCACATTTCTCATACTAACACCCTTACACTCCCAATATGGTTCCAGTGTGGTATCTGGTATAGATCCCACTAGAAGGTACCAAGCAAGCATAATCTCATGGTTATTTCCAGATTGGTGTAGTACATATTGTCTGCTGTTACTGAGTTTGTATTTCAAGTCATTATTTGTAATACTGCCATAACCCAGTTTGTATCTCAAGCACAACCTTCCTTATTACATATAGTGTTGATGGTATGCATGCAGGACTTGATAGCAGATACTCCCTAATTAGTGGGTGTCAAAACTTTCAACTAAGTTTTTCGGAGTACATATTGTACTACTTCTAGTATTATATATTGGTATTTTAAAGTTGTTGTTCCTGTGTTCTGTTTCATACTTGTTTCTTTTTCTAGATCTCATCCTAGAATCTTTCCCTAGTTATACTACCAAAGTAGCCAAAGAATGTACAACTAAGGTGGCTCTAGTAACCTGGTAACTAGACAAGTACTTCCAGTTGGGTATGACCTTGCCATGTCTTGTCTGTTTTAAGCATATCCCAAGTCAGTGATAGTAAATAACCTGAAATGACTCAAATGACTCAAATGACAAATGACTAGTCATTGGGTCATTTCAAGACCCAAATGACTTAGAAGGTCATTTAACATAT